CATGTTATAGTATTTTGCCTAATTATAAATTCTCAAATTTATGGTAAACAATGTTTTTAAAAAAAAAATGAGAGAATTTTGACTTTTACAAAATTGTCATGCCGAGTTTTACCTAAATTAACCTGATTTCTATGCAATCCAGTTTTTTTTTTTTTTAAATAAACAATTTATTTGTTGCAATTAGAAAAATATATAGGCGATAATGTTTTGCCTAATTCGAAATTCTCGATTTTATGGTAATTTTTTTATTAAACAATGAGAAAGATTTTTGACTTTTACAAAATTGTAAGCATCAGTAAAAATTTATTTAAATTCCACAAAACCCATAAATTTATGGTGCATATATAGCTGCTCGATTTTTTGAAAATAATTTTTAAAATTTAAAAAACTGCCGAAAATATAATGCAATAAATATTGATTGATTTTTTTGTAACTAATTTTAGTAAATATATTCTTTCTTTATATATGTATTTGGCTTTATTAATTACACACTCGTAAGAAATATTTTAACTCACGTTGTATTATATTAGCCCCGTATTAATTTTATTTGTCTAAAATAATTTAACTTTTTTAGATTGAATCAAGGAATTATACAATTGCACATGATTTAGTCTGTTTTCACTTTTTTTTTTTTTTTAAGCTTATTATGCCGATTTGCATCTTATTTTTTTATTTCTCATTATTTAGTTAAATAGAGTTCATTTGAATAATTTTATTCACAAATTTTTGTTCAAAGTTTTTCATTTCAACATAAAACATGACTAGAAAGTATACTAATTATTATTTTTATTTTACAAATGCAAAGTTCATATTTTAATATTACTGATTCAAATAATTTATATTATTATAAAAAATCATACTTTGACTATACATGTGTATAACTAGATTATTCGAGGTTAGTATTCATGTTCGAACTCGTGCTCATATAATAAACCATTGGCGTGACTTATCTCGTTTAATAAACCAAAATGCGAGCTCGAGTTCAACTTGTATAAATTCGACTTGACTCATTTAATAAACCTTACAATCTTGACCAAAACTCAAACTCTAACCGAATTGATCGCGAACATGCTCGACTCGAACTTGTTTGGTAGATAAGTTCAATCAGTTGTTTGAGCTTGACTCGTGAAAATATACAAACTAGTCGAGCTTGAGGTTCACACGTCAAACCAAACTATGTAATGGGATAATTCAATTCAAATAACATCAATATATTGACCGTAAATGATGAATTCGAGCGGTTCGCCTAGGAAAAACAAAAACAGTACAAAGTTTGGAAAAATTAATCCCAATCTCAAGCCCAATTTGAGCTTGGAGATTGCCCCAAATGGTCCAAAATACAAATAAAACTCAACAAATCATATTAATTCAAGTGGAAGTTTTTAAGGAGAGAACCACAAGTACATGATAACCTTAAACAATTAATGCTTGTATTTTCCTAAGAGAACATATTTTGATTTCTACTTAGTTCATTGTGCTTGAAATCCTCTCCTATACATACAATCTTCAACACCTTGAAATCAAATCCGACCCACGACACCTTGTCCGTAGATAAACCTCGCGCTATCCTCTGTGTACACATGAGTCTCGTTCTTCAATCTGCGCCCGAGAATTTAGCGTATACATTAACAAATGTGTAAGCGAAATTTGATTTTTCGAAAAAATCGAACTTTCGTGTTGAGTTAGAGATCTTACGTTTTGGCGACCGTTTTATTCAAAATTGTTGAGGCCACAAATGAAGGGCCATTCAAGTAAAGGAGTTCTCCATCAATTGTGTCTGCTATCTTCTTGTCCATTTTCCCAGCATCAATGCACAGTGGTTCATCAGAGGCCTAACATAGACCAAAAAGATAAAATTACTCAAAATTATAAGTCCTCCTAAATTAATTAATTAATTAATTAGTTGTTAATTTTGAAGTCATTTACTTACAATAACCCAACCCCAAGTGTCCGCAAACGATGGCACGTGAGCCGTATAAGCACGAACGTCTGTATACACACCACCATATTAGGAGCAGTTTAAAATTAGCAAACCTGAGCTGAACCGTGCAATTCTGCGCAGTCCAGTTTGATTTTTGTTTTCAACATTCACCGAAACACACCAAATGAAATACAAATGTATTTAAAAATCAAGGCGAAACCGAAAATCGAGTCGAATGGTGCGTTCGGTTCAATTGTTTTAGTGTATAGATTTTGTGCATGTGATTGACTTACACTTGAAGACCTGCTTTATAGTGTTATATATTGATGAGAAGACCTCCTTGTGAGTGTAAATCCCAGCTGGTCCAGCCTAAATACCAATTTAAGCCAACAAAACTCATCATAAATTTCAATTAATTAATTAATTAATTAATTTATTTATTTTATAATCTCCAAGCCACAATATCAATTAATTATCATCAATTATATAAAAATAAATTAAATGAGAAATTAAATAATGACCTGAGTAACAAAGATGCCATTTTTATTGAGCTTAGGCTTAATAATATTTTCATAGAAAGATTTAGTGTAGAGTTGATAGCAAGGCCCTCCTTCAACTGGGTCAGCTAAATCTCCCACAATTATGTCAAATTTTTCTTTCCTACCCTCCAATTCAGCTCTACAAAAAGGAAAAAAAAAAAAATTTAAATAAAAAGAAAAAAGAAAAAAAAATCAGATTAGTATGATTATAATTAATTATTGGAAGATGCTACGGTCCCGTTACGAAACCATTCCATCGGAGTTTGTATCCGTTAGATCAACTATATCTGACGGTTACATGATTATCAAACGATTATCAAACGGTTACAAATTTCGACGGAATGGTCCGTAACAGGACTTTAGCATTTTCCTTCATTATTATAGTTATGTAGTATTCAGAAATCTAATAAATTAAATCAACGTTAATTATAATTACTTGGCATCATTAATGACTAAATCAAGCTTCACGTTACGGAATGCCTCATGATTTGCCGTGAGATGCTTCTTGCAAAAATCGACGACCTCCTGAAAAGTCGTACCAAAAAAATATTATTGTGTTAATAATAAGGACTGTATTAGAAAGATAATTAATAATCAACCTAGATTAAAATACTAGTCATAGTTAAAAAATAATAATAATATAAATTGAAGTACATAATTTTATTGCATAAGTTTTATTTTGAAAATAAAATTGCGAAATTTAATAACATGATACATATATATTATACCTTATCAATATCACACATGACGACCTTCTCTATCGATTTGTGCCTCAGCGCTTCTCGTGCGGTCGACCCTTCGCCTCCGCCCATTATAAACACCGTTTTTGGGCTAAAATGAAAACACAAATTAATAATAATGATAAAGATTAGGTAAAAAGCGTGATTGAAATTAATACATTAAAACTTACTTAGAGTGACATAAGAGGGGTGGATGAATCAAACACTCATGATATATAAATTCATCAATTTCTGCACTCTGCATCTTCCCATCAATCACCAAGGCCTTCATACAATTCACCACAATTAGTTAATTAATTAATTAATTAATTAATTAATTAATTGACTAATTACACAATTAATCATATATATATATACCTTTTGAGCAGAATTGAAATAGTATTTATATAGTAATTTTTTTTTACCTTGCCAAAATGTTTTGTGTCCAGAAGAGCTATGTCTTGGTACTCACTAACTCCTCTGTGCAGCACTCTGCATAACAACATGAAAATGATACCAAAAGGTCACAGTATTGCTATGGAGTCATCCGTTGGCTCGACTTATGGAGCCACTTACTTGAGATATATATATGTACGTACCTGTTCAAAGCAAAAGACCACTTGAGATCGACATCAATCTCTTCTTCGAACCAAGAACCTTCTTGCTCCTCGTTTTGCTCTATCATCATATCGTGATTATTGGTTTCATAGTGAACTTTTGTTATGCCATTGTTGTTGTAAGGAAACACCACAGTTTCACCCATAATTTTTTTTTTTTTTTTTTAAATACTAATGAAAACGAAAATAATAATAAATCAAGAACTTAATTAGGAGGCAAAGGCAAAGAGAGAGTAAAAGTGAGCTAATTTTAAGGAAGTGAGTTTGAAATAAAATGTGATGCTGCCCTTTTATAGACGTTCAAAAGCGTGACAAGTCCTTGCACGTAAGTAAATTTAAAATTGATTGTATCATGTCCCTCAAACACTTAATTATAATGTTGTTGCCTTAGTTTGCCTTTTCCCATGCTGTAAAATCATGACATTTTTTGTATGATCATTTTAAATAAGACTAATTAGGTGACTTTAATGTTACTATATTATAGTAGTGTGTTTTTTTTTTTCTCTTCACTATGTTGTTAATATAGTGTATGATATTATCTCGGTGTTTCGATGACATTCCTTATAATACCTCGATGATTTCGAGGTTGTATAAGAGTGATATATGACTTGTTCGTAGTGAGAATGCTCTGGTGGTAGCTCGATAGTCAAAACTTAACTATAGAAAGGTAATTGATAGTTGTGTCGAATTATAGAAAGTATTTACGTTTGAGATTATTATATGATATTTTAAATCTCAAATTTGTAGGATTAATTTCTAAGTTATAATTATTCTTTTGAATAAAATAAATCAGAGGATATAAATAAAGGTTAAACATAGAGGCAAAATCATGATTTGTTATCCTTTTTATATAGAACAATAACCAGTCTCTACTTAATCGTGGTGGATTTTACGCCGTAAAATAAAATGTAGTGCTTTTGCAGGTTATCAAACAAGTGGATTGTCTCAAGACATAACACGTCAATTCGTGTCCAATGTTCACAAAACATGATGCAATTTTAGGTAAAACCAATTAAGCAATTACTAACATGGATAAAATGACAGGATAAAAAGCAAAATATGAGGTGAAAGTGTGGGATCACATGACAATTTATATGGCATAAATATTTAATTTTATAGATTTCTAAGGATAAAAAGGAATTTCACATGCCGATTTTTAGACAAAAATAGTCATTTCTAGTGTGATACATCAACTTATTATCCAATCCCATCATAGTTAGTAAACGTTGGATAACAACAATTGTCCAACCATATCAGATTCTAACGCTTAAGTAAACGAGGCCTATAAGAACCCAGTTCATTTCCCCGTTTATTTGATGCAACCCCATCAATTATCAAATTCATAAACATATTAGTGTTAATTCGAATCAAGCATAGCTAAGCAATTGGGATGATGACATATACGCTGCTCATACTAGTTGACATCTACAAATGTGATGACCATATCTCAATAATTTCAACTAGGTGTGGCCCTATATTATTTTTGCACTCCACAAGATTGAATATTATTTTTTTTTCGCTAATATAAATTCAAATTGCCAATATATATATATATTTTTTTTCCTTTGGCTCAAAGAAATGAAATCCATATGGCAATAATAATTTTTTCTCCTCTTTCGAATTTCGACCAAATACTAACATAAGCTAACATTTTCCAATCGAATCATCTCGAAAATCACGGTCCTAACCGATGTATACGAGCATTTAACTCAGTTAGCTCGACTCGTTTCGACCCAAATGAAATATGATATTCTTTTCAAATATATATATATATAATTAATCGACCAAATGCAATAATAAGAAAATGTAAACGGGTAGAGGAGTACCAAAAGCGCACGCGCAAATTAGTGTGAGTTGGAGGATTAGGAGGCGCACAATAATAATATAATAATAATATTAATTGGGTGGCGCGCATGGGCCTGCGTGGGCCCCAGAAGCAACCACGCCTGATGACATCTCTTTTCGCATGTATTGTTGTCTTGTTGCCTGCCTGTATGTGCGCGGCACTCAATCAAGATGGAAGTTTGAGCCTTTGAGGTTAAGATAATATAATCCCACGGCTCGTGTCCGAATTTCCACCTCAATATAGAAAAAAAGATACATTCTTCTTTTTTTNNNNAAAAAAAAAAAAAGAATACATTCTGATTGCTCTATCTATATAATTTCTTTTTATTTTATAAGATATATTAATATAATTTCGATTTAATTTGTAAGATATATAAATAATAAATATAGTTAGGGGCGAAACTAGAAAATTAGTTGAGAGGGGCAACAGACATGACATAATGATTTCAAAATCGAACCCTAATGGTTCAGAACCGATAACATTTCTGTAACCAATTTTCGGTTCGTGACACATAAATCGGTTCAGTTCGGTTTATTTTCTCATCGGTTCGATTCGGTTTTCAGTAAAAAAATATCAGCCCTAACTTGGACAGTAAAAGAGAGTTGAAGTCTTTTATATGGGGCAATTAAAATTATAGAATGATAATAATTAATATGCAAAATTAATCCTCCCTATATATTATTCCCGAATGCGCTGAGCCTACATGGCTACTTCTGGTGCTTCGGAATCCTACTTGGCAAAGAATCATGCTTCGTAATTAAGTTTGGACAAATAATATTGATATATTAATAATTAATAATCTAGGTTAGGACATTCCATAAATATTAAATAGCTAACTTAGGTATTTTAACATCACTTGCCTTTTAATTCTTTGTAATTTTACATAGTGAGACATTAAGTGGCTAATATATCCCTGATTTTTGATTTGTTTCCTTCAATTAGTTATTTAATTGTAAATGTATTTTAAAAGTTGATAACTTTTATATTTCTTATCTGTTTTACATATATAAAATATCAAATTAATCATCTTTTGATGATCTTCGATTTGACATTCATATTGTATATTTGAAATAAATAAATTTTATTTATCTTTATAATAATAAAAAATAATAATATTTATTAAACTTCATTAGAAAAATAAAATTATTTCTCAATTGATATATTTATGTTTAATGTAGTTATATGTTGTAAGTTAAAAAATTATTATAATATAACAAAAGTAAGTCGTACAAATAAAAAAGTGTCATACTAAATATATAATAATATAAATATTTTTATAAAGGTATTTAAATTTTCAATTACTTTTTCTCATTAATTTAAATTTGAAGAAAAAATTAGCAAAGCACCCGTGTAATACACGGGCGTTGTACTAGTAGTAAAATAAAAGAGTATTGAATTGTTAATTAATAGTAAAATAAAAGAAGTGTTGAATTGTTAATTGATAATTGTGGATAAGTAGGCCTTTTGAGTAACGTTTAAAAATAAAAAAATTAGGGACAAAAATAAATCTAAAGGAGGCCAAATTAATTTTTTTAATATTAATGGTA